TGTTTGTGTGTATTCAGAGTGTGCGTTGTCTGTCTCCAGGCGTTATGGGTCATTTGTGTGTTTGTTTGTGTGTATTCAGAGTGTGCGTTGTCTGTCTCCAGGGTTAGGGTCATTTGTGTGTTTGTTTGTGTGTATTCAGAGTGTGCGTTGTCTGTCTCCAGGGTTAGGGTCATTTGTTTGTTTGTTTGTGTGTATTCAGAGTGTGCGTTGTCTGTCTCCAGGGTTAGGGTCATTTGTGTGTTTGTTTGTGTGTATTCAGAGTGTGCGTTGTCTGTCTCCCGGGTTAGGGTCATTTGTGTGTTTGTTTGTGTGAATTCGAAGTGTGCGTTGTCTTTCTCCAGCCCTTCTGCAACGGCCTGGTCACGGTGATGGTTCCTCAGCTCCGGAGGGAGAACAGTCTTCTCCTGTGGAACACGCTGGACCTCAACAGCCCCGTTCACGCCTTCGTGGGTCACGACGACGTGGTGCTGGAGTTTCAGTGGAGGCCTCAAAAACAAGGTCAACACCACCACAGCTAGTGTCTGTGCTAAGCTCGGCTACACCACCTTTTATTTCTATGGTGTTGTTTGTTGACGGGTCAGGTTTAATTCTGTGGTGGACGTTGTCTCCATCCCGGTGGTGAGGTGGTTTAGTGAGGCCCCCGTTCCTCGTACGTGTTCAACTATCGCGCTCAAATTAAGGCTGTCGTGTTTCTTCAGAGGCGTTAGTTTAACCAGACTTCAGTCATCAGGATAATCGCACGTACGCGTCTTAAGAGTCCATCACCGAAACCCAGGATATTAACACAGCCGTGCTAACAGCTGGGCTAACAGCAGCCGTGCTAGCAGCCATGCTAGCAGCCGTGCTAACAGCTGGGCTAACAGCTGGGCTAACAGCCGGGCTAACAGCAGGCCGGCTAGCAGCGGTGTTAACAGCCGGGCTAGCTGCAGCCGTGCTAACAGCCGGGCTAACAGCAGCCGGGCTAACGGCTAAGATTAATCCAGGAGTCTCGTGTGTTCAATCATCTGCCGTTCTGATTAACAACAAACGTGTTTATCAGTTATTCCGTTGTCTTCTGAATGTGTTCAGATTTATTCCCATTAACATGCATTACTTGTCACCAGGTTTTAACTATTGCAGTTGTTTAGATCAGTGGTCCACAACCTTTTTTGCTGCACAGGCTGTTTTCATGTCAGACGATATGGACCAGTGAAGAAGGTCCGGCAGAAGATGAACACGTGGAACTAACGGTGGGGGGGAAGTAGGACCCTAACACGTACCGTGCTGTGAATGGATCGGGTCCAGCTTCCATCCAGGACCTGGTCCAACCCGACACCCCGACCCGCACTCTCCGCTCTGCATCTGCAAAACTACTCGTCCCTCCCTCACTGAGAGAAAAACACTCCACTAGATCTCCACTCTTTGCTGTCCTGCTCCTAAATGGTGGAAGGAGGTCTCTGAAGACATCAGGACCACAGAGAGCCTTCACATCTTCAGACTAAAGACACACCTCTTCACACTCTACCTCCACTAACACACTAACTAACTGTAGCACTTACATTGGACTTATAATGGTTCTTATCTACAGCAAGTTGTACATCGGCTTATTTGAGGAAATCACACTTTCTTGTTTCTTGTTCTTCTGAGTTTGTGTCCTGATGGTTGAAATGTTCTTATTGTAAATCGCTTTGGATAAAAGCGTCAGATAAATGACATGTGATGTAAAATGAGCCGCCTTCTTAACTGCTAAAATCAGTTTAGATAAAATATGTGAACAGGCATCTTGTGGTGATGGATTTCTTTATTGTACTTTTGTGCAATAGCCCACAGTAGTTGTTGACACTGTGCTGGTCCTGTTGTTGTTGACGGTCCAGGTTCCAAGGACTACCAGCTGGTGACGTGGTCCAGAGATCAGACTCTCAGGATCTGGAGGGTGGATCCTCAGCTGCAGAAGGTCAGTGTCTCATGATCTGTCTCATGGCCTCATGTGCGTTGTCCTTAATGTTGTTGTTGTTGTGGTGATGTAGCTGTGTGTCAGTGACGGGGGGGAGGAGCTAACGGAGGCGATGTCTCTCGCTGTGGAGGAGGAGACGTCTCTGGTGTCTCAGGAGCCCGGCGGTCAGTTCAGAGTCGGCCTCAACGCCAACAACCTGCACGGTGAGAAATGACCACGTGAGCTCATGTGTGTTCAGGTACATCTCATTATTCATTTACTTCCTAGTATATTATTATATTTCTTCTTACCTACTTATTACTGCTGCTCTCGTCTTGTTGTTTTTTACCCCCATTGTGGGACTAATAAATCTTATCGTAATAATAGTTATGATTCATGTGAATAAACATAATTCACATTGATTAAATGCTGATGCATGACGTCCGTCCTCCCTCTCCTTTTCCTCTGTCCCTCTCGCTGTCCTCTGTCTGTCCGCTGTCTGTCCTCCTTAGATCAGGACGCAGCTCTGTCCTCTGTGGGGGGTTCAGGTGTCCCTCAGACGTTGCAGCAGGAGTTTTCTCTGGTCAACCTCCAGATCAGAAACGTTGATGTGGAGGTGAGACAGACAATCAACTTCCTGTTTAATCATCAACATGCAGCTTTTCAAAATAAAAATCCCCTGAGTTGTAACTGGTTTCAAATGATTGCTTTTAGTCTGAAGTTAATCAATTATTAGAATAAGAAGCTGAAGACGTGAGACAGGAAGTGGCCGTGTTGCCCTCAGATGGACGCGTTGAACCGAAGCTGCGTGGTGTCGGCTCACTTCGGCAGCCATCAGGTTCACCTGGTCGTCAAGTTTCCAGCTCAGTACCCAAACAACGCCGCGCCCACCTTCCAGTTCGTCTCCCCGACAACCATCCCGTCTGCCACCAAGACCAAGATCCAGAAGGTACGGACGCACCTGAAGTACCACTGATAACTGCTTCTTCACGGAGGCTTTGAACACTTGTGACTCTTGTGTTTCAGATCCTGACCGACACGTCACTTCAGAAGGTGAAGAGGAACCAGAACTGTCTGGAGCCGTGTGTCCGGCAGCTGGTGTCCTGTCTGGAGTCTGACATGGTGAGGACACACCGGACAGGAGGCTCCAGCACAAGAAGGAGGTTTTGTCTTTATGATGTCTCTCCCCCTGTCAGACACAAGAGGACGGCCCCGTCTCTGGCCCCTTCGTCCTGTCCAACCCGGTCACTCCGGTCTTGCAGGTGTTCCCCCGGGTCACCAACACTTACGGATCCTATCAGGTAACTGACAGGTCCTCATGTAGAGACTAGACTGGCCTGTGGGCCACGACCTCTTTGCCTCAGAGGCCATTTCCATGTTGGAGAATATTCTGCGGACCAGTCTTGGAGGTGGGGCGGATAAACCCGCCGAAATAACCGCCCCACGGCGGTGGGGGGGGTGTAGTCTATAAAATGATGCTGACGTTTGTGTCGTGTCAATGTAAGATCACTGATCACGGTTCTTTACAGGACGCTAACATCCCGTTTCCTCGGACCTCCGGTGCTCGTTTCTGTGGCACCGGATGTTTGGTTTACTTCACACGACCAATCACCATGCACCGCTCAGCCCCGCCCACTGAGCCCACCCCCAGGTAAACACACACACACACACGTGTGCTGTATCAACATCAGGGTCTCTGTTCAGGTGTTACTGAGCTTTTATTCTGAAGGTACTGAAAGTGAGGACAAAATAACTAGTTGTTTAAAACCTTTTTGATAGAGCTACGCTAACAGTTCGCCCCTACCGCCAGTGTTTGTGCTAAGCTAGGCTAAACTTTGTGTGTGTCCAGGTCCCTGTCTGCTCTGTCGGCCTATCACAGCGGAGTATTGACGCCCATGAAGATGCGTTCAGAGTCCCAGAGCACGTTGAGGTTGTACAGCGGAAGTCCGACTCGCTCCGACAAAGACACTGTGTCCATCTCCTCCTTCTACTATAAGGAACGGGTGAGGCACACTCACGCACACGACAAGATGTCTGGAAAGAATATATATGGATATGAAAATGTGTAAATGTTAAGGCTGTCAACAGGTCGCATTTTGAAATCCATTAATGAAATAAAAAGTTTGTTTTCTTCTAAAGACTAAATCTTCTGAAATAGGTAATCGCTTTAGAAAGCTTGTATTTTTAATTTAAACACAAACTCCACATGTGATCACGCTGGAGGTGGAACATGTGGAACTAGCGACTCTTCCTGCTGTCCTCGTGCACGTTCTTGGTAATACACGTGCTGCAGCATTCTGAATCAATTGGAGAGGCTGAAGAGACTCATGAGAGCCTGATGAGCAGCGATCCAACAGTGAGACAGGAAGTACCTGATTTCTATATATGTTACGTAGATGAAAAAAGCCTCTTTGAAGTCTTCTCTATATGCGAGTTGAAGGTCCTATAGATCCATAGAAACTGTATCACGTGAGCGCTGGCTTCGAAGGGGCTCTGGGCCTATCAGGATCCGAGTTTAGCATCATGAAGTTGCAGGTCATCCAAGTTGTGATGTCTCCAAGACATTCTTGAAGCTGGTCGGTCTCTTCTGGCCCCGCTGCTCCGGTTCTCCGGCCAAACTCACGCTCCATCTTCCCCTCACTGGTGAACAAGACCCCGAGGTACTTGAACTCCTTCACTTGGGCTGAGGACACATTCCCTACCTGGAGTAGGCAATCCATCCGTTTCCTGCTGAGAACCATGGCCTCAGATTCAGAGGTGCTGATCCTCATCCCGACCGCTTCACCCTCTTCCCCTCGACTACGCCTCGATATCCTGTCCATGAAGACACAAACAGGATTGGTGACACGGCGCAGCCCTGGCGAAGGCCGACCCCCACCAGAAACGCCTTTGCCCCCGTGTCCCTAAAAGACAGTGGTTTGGAGAGTGGAGAGCAAAGTGCACGAGGACAGCAGGAAGAGTCGCTAGTTCCACATGTTCCACCTCCAAGATGAGTTTGTGTTTATTTAACACTTTTCATTGCAATTAATGAATTTCAAAATGTGAGATTTTTTTTTCTCTATTGACTTGAATATATATATATATATATATATATATAATATACATATAAATATATTATATATATTATATATGTATTATATATATAATATAAATGATATATAATATATATATATATATATATAAATATATTATATATATAACATATATAATATATTTTATATATATATATAAAATATATATTATATATATATATATATATATATATATATATATATATATATTAACCCTTTGTTTTGTTTCTTTTATATCTTCTTGTATTGTTTTTTCTCTGATCAATCACCTTCCCCCATGCTGCTGTGGGTCCCTCCTCCTTCCCATTCCCCTCCAATCAGAAGCCCACAATCTCTGCCTCCCGCCGCTGGTCCGTCCAAACCCTCTGTGATTGGCCGGTACTGATATCTGTCCCTCTGTTCTGTCTCTCCTCGTCACTCCGCTCATATTTTTAACAAAGTGACATGTGTTCTGAATTTGAAAAGCTATTTAGTTTGAAGTTTAACTCTAATGTAGTTGATCACTTCATTAAACTAACGCTGGCTGTAAATTCATGATTCACATTCACATTGCTGTGGGTCAAAAGGATCCACTAGCAGGTTCCCTGCCTGTCCGATGCTGTTCTGGGTCCCCGACCACCGGGCCGCAGACCGGTACCAGTTTGTTAGCCATTTCCTACCGGGACGCACAGAAAGAATACATTCTGAAAAATGTTTTATTTTGAACAATGACCGGATTGTCTCGCAATCACATGTGCAGACGCTTGTCTCAGTCACGTGATAATTACCACAAGCCATCGACAATGAGCTTCTTTATAAAGGGGAAAAGGCCTGAGACAAAGAAGAACCGGCAACCTCACAAAGAAAGCCCCATTCAGCAGGAAGTATGAGGACTCGGGAGCCACACTTAGAATACGGGTTGGTCGCGTCACGTGATTCTCATGTGCTCTGCGTTATATGGATGGTTGTTTCATGCTGATCCCGTCTTTTCATTTCGTCGTGTTTATCCGCCACACCCTGAAGTCTGGTCCACCAAACGTCGTCTAACATGAAACCGGGCGTGAGGAATAAAAGGTTGGGGGCCGCTGGTCTAACCCACTTATTAGACCATCTGCTGACCTTCTCTTCTCTTCTGATTGACCCTCCTTTTGTCTCAGTCAGTATATATTATGTGTTCAGATGGTCATGGTCTCCAGGGGATGAACCCCAACGAGCAGTTCCCTCCTGAGGGTGTGTCTGTAATTCAACACCACTTTTAATCAGGTGGTGCTTTGTCTCCCTTTTGTCTGCTGTGTCCCTCTGTCTACCTGTCTGTCTCTCTCTCTGTCCTTTTCCTCATCAGAAATCCCGGCGCTTCAAAACAAAGCGCGAGGGAAGCGACTTTGGAAACCGGCCCATCAAACTGGCGGGAAAAGTCATCGTCCAGGAGATCTCGTGCCTGCTGCCGGTCCACAAAGCTCTGGGAGAAAGTTACATGTGAGGGACAAAATATTTCTATAAACATGTATTCACAAACTCTGCCGCGCTCCGAACCTCGACTTTCCTACACGCAGGACGCTCTGCTCCAAAACAAAATCGTACTTTAGTGCAGCGTGTTTAAACCTGTTCCCGTCACCCAGTCTCAACATGAACGACATCCAGGAGACATGTCAGAAGAATGCGGCGGCGTCGCTAAGCGTCGGACGCAGAGACGTCGCCAAGGTAACCATGTCATCCGGTAACCAGCCTCGGAGTGCCTCTCGAAACAACAAGTAGGGCTTTTTGTGATTGTGATGTCATTGCCTGTGTAGGTTTGGGCGCTGGCGTCTGCAGCCACCAGCCAGTACCTGAGTCCAGAACCGGACCCGGACACAGAGACACCGTGGGCCCGACACCCGTTTGGACGCCATCTGCTGGAGACTCTGTGAGTGACTTTGTTCCCTCTGATCCCAGCTGAAGGCTTCGGTCTATAAGAGTGTGTGTGTCTGCAGCTTGGACCACTACAGCCACATGAGTGACGTTCAGACTCTGGCGATGCTCTCCAGCGTGTTCAGAGCTCAGGCTCCGCCTCCAGACTGCTTCTCCCTGTACGGGCATCATCCAGCTCGCTCCTCCAACCACTCTCGTTACGTACGTCCTCCTCACTGCAGTCGCATTAGCCTAGCTTAGCACAGACTGACTGCTAGCATTACTCTTCAAAGTTATATCATAATGTGTGTGTCGTCCATCAGCCCAGCTACACGTCCAGCTCCGTCGGCTCGTGCTCCAGCACCTCTGACTCCGTCGCCACCTGGAGCGCAGGTGAGCGGCTGTACAGGCCCTGCCCCCACAGGCCAGGCCCGCCTTGCTGCTGTCAACTGGACGCTTTTTTCTCGTTGTGCAGGGAGAGACCCGGAGTCTGGCAACCCCTGGGGAGAGTCCTCCCCTGACGACTTTCGCCATGGCAACCAGTGTTACGCCGATCCGCGTGAACGCGAGCGAGAGCAGCACGATATGAACAAGAGGTGAGGCTGGCAGGAGCGACTAGGTGGACCGTTTTTTGATGTCACTGGGATCTCATGTCCTCTCCCCACAGGCTGCTGGACCCGGCCAACACGCTGCAGTTTGACGACTTCAAGAAGTGTTACGGAGAGATCCTGTACCGATGGGGTCTGAGGGAGAAACGGGCCGACGTGCTCAAGTTCGCTTCCTGTCCGCCAGAACCACACAAAGGGATCGGTAGGTTCACCGGAGGACATACATACTCATAGATATATTCAGTGTAGTACTGGTAAAGTAATAGCATTAGCATCAGCATCAACATAGTACTAGTGATGTATTAACAGGGTCCAATCAGGTGGTCCAATCAGAGGGTTGGCGGTTCGATGCTGTGTACTGCTTACCCGCGTGTGGGCAAGACACTCAACTCAACATTGCTCCTGTAGCTGTGACTGTGTGAATGCTAGTTAATGGTGTGTGTGTGTGTGTGTGTGTGTGTGTGTGTGTGTGTGTGTGTGTGTGTGTGTGTGTGTGTGTGTGTGTGTGTGTGGTAGCTGCTGCCATCAGGGTGTGAATGGATGAATGATGACATGTGCCACAAGTACAGTGCATTTACCATTTAATAATCATGCAGTCCTGCATTAGCATTAGCATTGTGCTAGTTGTGTTTCAGTACTAGTCATGCATTAGCATTAGCGTTTTGCTAGTCGTGTTTCAGTACTAGTCATGCATTAGCATTAGCGTTTTGCTAGTTGTGTTTCAGTACTAGTCATGCATTAGCGTTTTGCTAGTCGTGTTTCAGTACTAGTCCTGCAATAGCATTAGCGTTTTGCTAGTCGTGTTTCAGTACTAGTCCTGCAATAGCATTAGTGTTGTGCTAGTCGTGTTTCAGTACTAGTCATACATTAGCGTTTTGCTAGTCGTGTTTCAGTACTAGTCATACATTAGCAATAGCGTTTTGCTAGTCATGTTTCAGTACTAGTCATGCATTAGCATTAGCGTTTTGCTAGTCGTGTTTCAGTACTAGTCATGCATTAGCGTTTTGCTAGTTGTGTTTCAGTACTAGTCATGCATTAGTGTTTTGCTAGTCGTGTTTCAGCTAGTCATGCATTAAAGCATTAGCGTTGTGCTAGTCGTGTTTCAGTACTAGTCATGCATTAGCGTTTTGCTAGTCGTGTTTCAGTACTAGTCATACATTAGCGTTTTGCTAGTCGTGTTTCAGTACTAGTCCTGCAATAGCATTAGTGTTGTGCTAGTCGTGTTTCAGTACTAGTCATGTTAGCACATTAGCGTTTTGCTAGTCGTGTTTCAGTACTAGTCATGCATTAGCGTTTTGCTAGTCGTGTTTCAGTACTAGTCATGCATTAGCGTTTTGCTAGTCGTGTTTCAGTACTAGTCATGCATTAGCGTTTTGCTAGTTGTGTTTCAGTACTAGTCATGCATTAGCGTTGTGCTAGTCGTGTTTCAGTACTAGTCATGCATTAGCGTTTTGCTAGTCGTGTTTCAGTACTGGTCATGCATTAGCGTTGTGCTAGTCGTGTTTCAGTACTGGTCATGCATTAGCGTTGTGCTAGTCATGTTTCAGTACTAGTCATGCATTAGCGTTGTGCTAGTCATGTTTCAGTACTAGTCATGCAGTGTGCTCCTGTGCTCTCTAACCCTGTGTCTCATCGCCAGAGTTCGGGGTCTACTGCTGTCACTGCCGTAGTCAGGCTCGTGGGACTCAGTGCGCCGTGTGTAAGCGACTCACCTTCCAGTGCGCCGTGTGCCACGTGGCTGTCAGAGGCTCCTCCAACTTCTGCCTGACCTGTGGACACGGAGGACACACCACTCACATGATGGACTGGTTCCGCCGGCAGGACGAGTGTCCGGCTGGCTGTGGCTGCCACTGTCTGCTGCAGAGCACCTTCTGATGCTGGACCAGGTCCTCCTGACCCACCAGGAGCAGCCCTGTGTTGTACTCAACTAACTCAACAACTGTGTTGTACTAAAACAAAGATATGAGACATATTAATCACTAGTCAGTCTCTAAATGTGAAGAACACACTTTATAAAGTTTGTAAATGCCTTTTAATCTGAAAACATATTAAAGTCGGTGTGAAAGTGACTCTGATACATTAAAGTGGTGAACTCAGTTGGGAGCCCTTAAGCCCCGCCCACAGACCCAAAGTCATCATGCTGCTCTGTGGTTGACCTGCAACCTCCTGATGGGAAGTCACATGAGTGGTGGAGGCTGTGGTCGGTTGGTGGAGGACAGGACAGGTCGACAGGAGAAGCAACGGGTGGGCGTCTCTGACGTCTGAAGTCTGGAAGGCGGCAACGACTTTGTACACTCCTCACACGTCTGTGACAACAGCAACAACAACAACAACAACAAGTAATTTTTCACAGCAGAGGAGTAATGGAAGAGACATGCTCACCTGGAGTCCATCAGTCCTTCTGCTCTTCATCACTTCTGGGATTTCCTTGTCTATGTTCCACAACCTCACTGACGTGTCCTACAGAATCATCTTCTTCATCATTACTGCTCGTCCTACAGAATCATCATCAACAATAGTGATCATTTCTGTTACCTTGGAGGCGGAGGCGACCAGCTTCCTGTCAGCAGTGATTGACACATCTGTCACCCAATCAGAGTGGCCCTGTGATAAACAAGCATCAGTGGCATCAGCGCTGTTCATGCTTCTAAATGTAAGAACGTTTATTCACTTCAGGACCCAGAGTCCTGCTGCTGGAACACGTATCCCAGAGTGCAACAGTACTATCGTAAGAGCCAGACACCAACAGGGTTGCTATGGAAACATGAAAAGTGTTTATGAGGTAAACATTTTCCTAGTTACTGTACTCCATCTCAGAGGTACAGGTCCAGGGCTATTTGATTGATTGCATTTAAACAACAAGGCAATTCAAAGGCAGCAGCAAATTCTTTACTATGGGTTTAAAGGAGCTGAGGGAATCTGCAGACCTGCAGCTTTCTGGGACCTCGTTCCAGATACGTGGAGCAGAGGAACTGAAGCTGCTTCTACGTGTTTAGTTCTGCCTCTGGGAACAGAATGTAGGCCCGTCCCAGACGACCCAAGGGTTCATGGCGGTTCAAAAGGTATCAGCAGATCAGAAATGTACTTAAACCCTTCAGTGCTTCATAAACTAGCCGCAGGGATTTGATCATTTACATTTAATGTACTACAGATTACTCTTCAATGTATTACAGAGTACACTTTAATGTACTACAGGGGTACAAACTCACCATCGGCAGAGAAGCAGCATGAGCTCACAATGCCTTCATGGCCTCTCTGTAGCGTCGTTCCTCCCTGAGATCGAAACCCTCCTGTCTGCAGGTCCCACAGCTTCAGGCTTTTATCCCAAGATGCAGTGCACAGGAAGTACCCGCTGCTGGTGAAGCAGCAGTTGGAGACCACGTTGCCATGGTTACTGAGAGACGAGAAGACAAGATGAAGACAGGAAGTCTAAGAAGGAAGCACCAAACCCGGGTGGCATCAGGTGTGCTGATCACCTGTTGATGGACACGGTGGTTTTCTGTGCCAGCAGGTCCCACAGTTTGATGCCTCTGTCTGCCGACACCGTGACAACTCGCTGGGTCCGTGGGTCGAACCGACACCGTGTGATGGTGGAGCGGTGATGATCTGGTTGGGAAAACAAGTAAAGTACTGCTAACTTAACCGTGACGTATCGGTAACCTCCTGATGAGGTGCAGTGAGGGGGGGGCGTACCGGTGAGAAGGTGCAGCGTCTGTCCGCTGGCGGCCTCGCAGATGGAGACACAGTTCTGAGGATCTGAAGCACAGACCAGCAGCCGGCCGTCAGAAGAAGAGCTGCAGGAGGTTAGGAGACCGGCCTGTTTTCTCCTCCACTGACACAAGGAGACAATAGTCAATAATCAGTTCACTAGAAGCATCAGATCATTGTGTATGAGCTCAACTGGGAATGGTTCAATTCATTTTATGTGACATGTGACATCCTCTGTCCCAAAACCCTCACAGGAAGAAACCTTGATGAGAGAGGAAGGATGGACAGACTACAATGGATGTCGTGTACAGAATGAACAATGTAAAAGATCGTTCGTGTGATGATGTCATGTTATGTCACCAGAGTCTGTCCTGTCTCAAGGTCTGTAGACACCATCATCTTATCCCAGGAGACTGTGACCATCCTGAGAGACAGACCGATACCAACAGATAGAACTCCAGACAGACAGGAAGAACAATAAAATAATTTGGTGGTAGACTGCTGAACTGCAGGACCCGTGGAGTGGTAGACCAAAGGACTAATGGTGGGTGGCCTGCCTTAGTATTTCCTTGATTCTACAGGACTTCACAGGACTCACACGTTTGTTCCAATTATTATTATTATATCATTACTCTCGAGACTTCTGGAGTGTTCTCTTTACATCCTTTATTAAAAAAAATGAACTATGAAAATATAATGTGTTCTACATGAGTTTTAAAGCGGATCAAAGACTGTGCCACATTTCGTTCAGTACAAAGGAAGCCTCGCAACTCGATCCACCCCCTCTTATCACCGCTGATCCTCATCAATCTAGCAAATCATGAAGAAAAGAAAGTTATTATATGAACCTAACAAGGGAATCCATATAATTCATACAAATAAATGACATATGTATTATAACCAAAACAGAAAATATGGCACCAACAGGTCTGGTGAACTGGTTAACGAATGGACTGGTCCAACCTGTTGGTGTTTGGGATCTGAGAGCACTCGGTGATGGTTTCACTGTGAAGTTCATGAAACACCTTCAGAGGTCTGCACCTCTCCAGATCCTGCACAGGGCAAAGGTCAACATGGAATATTTATATGCAGCAGAGATCACCTTATTAGCAACAGCCATCACAAATGTAACTACATACAGTTTAGTGGAACCAAGTAAGACTACAACTCCCAGCATGCACCACTCTTCTAAAATACAATCCATTGTCCAATCAAGAAAGTCCAACTTAGAATTATAAAATAGTACTAGCAGAGAGGAGTACTTTGTGTATCAGTACCCAGAGGTTGGCGCAGTGGTCGGAGGAGTACCTTTACTAACCAAAGGTACAGTAGTACTAGTAGAGAGGAGTACTTTGTGTATAAGTACCCAGAGGATTGTGCTGTGGTCGGAGGAGTACCTTTACTAACCAAAGGTACAGTAGTACTAGTAGAGAGGAGTACTTTGTGTATCAGTACCCAGAGGGTGACGCTGTGGTCAGAGGAGTACCTTTACCAACCAAAGGTACAGTAGTACTAGTAGAGAGGAGTACTTTGTGTATCAGTACCCAGAGGATTGTGCTGTGGTCGGAGGAGTACCTTTACTAACCAAAGGTACAGTAGTACTAGTAGAGGGGGGTACTTTGTGTATCAGTACCCAGAGGATTGTGCTGTGGTCGGAGGAGTACCTTTACTAACCAAAGGTACAGTAGTACTAGTAGAGAGGAGTACTTTGTGTATCAGTACCCAGAGGATTGTGCTGTGGTCGGAGGAGTACCTTTACTAACCAAAGATACAGTAGTACTAGTAGAGAGGAGTACATTGTGTATCAGTACCCAGAGGATTGTGCTGTGGTCGGAGGAGCAGCTCAAGAGGAACCTGTCGTCGAAGCAGAGTCGAGCTCCGTTGACGTCATCGCTGTGAGCTCTTAACAGTTTAAACTGGAACCCTGCAGATCACACGTTATTACGGACACGTTTATTACGGGACACGTTATTACTGACACGTTTATGTCCGGTGGAGACACGGTCGTCTCAGGCTTTGCGGACCCGGAATGTTTCATCTCATGGGCCAGGACACTCCACCCCCAATAATGGCTCCTGTAGCTGTGACTATTGTGGCTGAATGTTAGTTACTGGTGGACTGGTGACTCTACATGTAATATGTTAATTTACTATCCAAAACATCTTCAGAGGGGAACTCAAATGCTTTAGCTAACGTTATTCGTATTTTAACATTTTAATGTTGGTACTTTTACGTAACATTTTAAATGCGTGCCTTAGTTTTGACAGTAGCTGAGTATTACGGTTACAGCATTACGTCATCTAAAAGTATAGATCATATATATATATACACACACACACACACACACACACACACCCTTGTATTTATATGGGGTTTATTAGCATTGACACTAGTTGTCCCTTTAGCTAAGAGACGTTAGTTTTCTACCTGGGTCTCCCGGCTCCTCCGTTCTTCGCCCCCTGAAGGCTCCCCCACTGACAGCAGGTCCACTTTTTCAGACATTTGGAGTTAAAAGTCTATGTGTTAGCTAGCTTAGCTCCAGTTGCTATGGCAGTTACCATGGCAACTGTGCCTGAAGAAGGTGTTGCCTTCAGGTACTGTGGGACACGAGAGGATTTGGGTGTTCTAGGTGATTAACTCACGTTCGGTCTTCACCTTCAATCAGTTCATATTAAAAAGGAGCTGAAACTATGACACTAAACCATTAAAATGCTTTACAAACAACAGCAGACATAAACGTTAAAAGATAAAGACTTTATTATTAGAAACAAGAACATGAGGTGTGATGGGAAAGAACCGAGGAGACAGACGTCCACACAGAGGACACGCTTCACCAGGTGTCACAGGACTGGATGGTCTTCAGTCTGGATGGAGAGGCCGACAGGTTAGAGATGTTTTTATCAGTAGACTAAACCTCTGTCATGACATCATCATCATGTGACCTTTGGAGCAGCTCCTGAGTGGACACCTGAGCCGCCTCCCCCTCCTTGCTGCTCTTCTTCTGCTGCTTGGCTTTGTGTTTGCTCTTACTCCGTTTCTTCTTCTGGGGAGAGAAACACCAGATCAGACCAGAGCAATCGAACCAGCAGACCAGACGTCTCCTTCTCTTCCTACCTTCTTCTCTTTCTTGTGTTTGTGCTGCTGCTGCTTCTTCTTCTTCTTCTTCTCTTTGCTCCTCCTGCCTGGGGATTCAAGGGAGGAGGAGCCTCCTCTAGCTGCACAGACAACACCATTAATGTGGTGTGTGTGTGTGTGTGTGTGTGTGTGTGTGTGTGTGTGAGTGAGATGACTCACTGAGGTCAGCTGGTGGAGGAAGCTTTGGACCAAACTCTTCTTTTTCCAGAGTCGAGTTCTGAGATGAAACTGAGACAGAATATTTATCATATAAACATAATAAACTGTATAGACACATGAAATATGATGCATGATGCAGTTGTGTCTCTGCTGCCATCTGTTTTTATTATTCTCTACAGAGCTCTGACCATGAAAACCTCTGACCTTTGACCTGTGCACATGTTTCTGAGGAGGTGATGCTAAAGAGGTTCTGTGGTTGTGGGTCCATCTGCTCCTCCTTTACGTCTTTGACTTCCTCCTCATCGTCGCTCTCTCCCTCTGATGAAGAAGAGGATTCGTCATCAGAGGAAATGGCGAAGATGGCCTTAAACAGATCCATCGGAGGCCTGCTCTCCTCCTGCTCCTCCTGCTCCTCCTCTAGATTCCTCTGTAAGAAGAGAAAGAACATGCAACGTTCTGCTCTTGTTCCTGCTCTCCGGAGGATCAAGCGATCAGTGTGAGACGTTACCTTGGTGATGGAGTCATCAGTCTGCTGCTCGGTGCTGCTGGATGAGGTGGAGGAGGCCCCCTCCACTTTGATCTCGGTTTGGTTTCTAGCAGCTACGAGGAGTTCACTCAGCGGGTCCTTCTGCTTCTCCTCCTTGGAAACGTCCCACCTCGACCTCCTCCCAGCTTCTGGAGGCTTTGGAGGAGCTGAAGGGGAGGAAGAGAAGGAGGAGCAGTAAGAGAACAGAGGAATGAGGAGGAAGAAGTGGCAAAATCTTATATTATGATTATAAAAATGTCAAACTAGAACTAATAATCATCATAATAACAACAATAACCATCTAAAAACATGACTGGTTCTAGAATATGTTGTAGACCAGAGTCACTGCGACCTACTGAGGACCAGCGAGGCTGACTGGAGTCACCGGGATCTAGAATGAAACGTGTCTGTTCGTGATCAACGATCAATCGCTAATTAACACAACCAAGTGTCCGACTGGTGGGGACGGGTGGACGCAGTGACACGTGGACAGAAGGACGTGTGGACGCAGTGACACGTGGACAGAAGGACGGGTGGACGCAGTGACGTGTGGACAGAAGGACGTGTGGACAGAAGGACGGGTGGACGCAGTGACGTGAGGACAGAAGGACGGGTGGACAGAAGGACGGGTGGACGCAGTGACACGTGGACAGAAGGACGGGTGGACGCGGTGACGTGTGGACAGAAGGACGGGTGGACAGAAGGACGGGTGGACGCGGTGACGTGTGGACAGAAGGACGGGTGTATGCAGTGTCTTGTGGACTGATGGATTGGTAATAGCAGTGACGTGTGGACAGAAGGACGGTTGGACGCGGTGACGTGTGGACAGAAGGACGGGTGGACGCGTGACGTGTGGACAGGAAGGACGGGTAAACTCAGTGACGTGTGGACAGAAGGACGGGTGGACGCCGTGACGTGTGGACAGAAGGATCGGTGGACGCGGTGTCTCGTGGACAGAGGCCTCGGGTAAACGCAGTGACCGTGTCGACAGAAGGACGGGTGGACGCGTTGACGTGTGGACAGAAGGACGGGTGGACGCGGTGACGTGTGGACGAAAGGACGGGTGGACGCAGGCTTCTTACCCATCGGCTCCGTCACAGTCAGGAAGTTGAACACTGAGAACTTGTCTCTCTTCACTTTGGGAAGACCGACCAAACTGGACCTGCAGGACCAACAGAAGCTCATCACCTGCTTCTGTACCAGTGCGTGTGTACTGTGCACGTCACGTGTGCACGTCACGTATGTACCCGGTGTAGGGATCCGGGACGTTGAACCTCTTGCAGAGCAGTTTGTCTGGATGCCACTCAAACGTTTCTCTGGTCAGTTCACCGAACATCTTCATGTTTACAGCGGCCTGTTTGTCGTCGACGTCTCCCTGACGACCAAACAGACAAAGTTCTTTTTAAACACATTTAGTCATTTGAGTGAATCTACATTTTGAAATGTTTTGAACTGATATTGTTTTACTTGAGTGTCTACATGACGTCCACCTGTCCCTCTAACATCTGAGACCAGCTGAGGGCGGTCTCCAGTGACCCACCTCCTGGTCCCGGTGGACCTCCACGCTGTCCTGGTCCTCCTGGCTGCTGGCTCTGGTGAAGCGGGAGGACAGCGAGGAGGAGGAGGGTCTGTAGAGGATTGAGGCTCGGACGAACTCGTCCCTCTCCCTGCTGCGCTCCCACTCCGTCATGCCCGGGTCCAGACTCTGCTCCAGACCGTCTGACAAACACAAAGCAGGCTTTCACCGCCCGGCCCTGCACACAGGGGCTGCTGCAGTGCATGATGGGTAGGCCGGGGCCTCCTACCTCTGTCTCCTTGTTGCAGGCGGTCCAGGTACAGCTCGTAGCGGGCCTGCTTGCTGGGGTTCTGCTCAAAGGGCCTGAAGGTCTGAGAGGACGTCTGGACTCCTTTCCACATGGTCAGGGCCTCCTGCTGCTGCCGGAGGCCGGAGGAGGACACGTCCTCTGCTGCCGGCTGCACAGCCTCCTGGGGGGTCTGCGTGGAGGAGCCGCCGCGCATGCCGAGAAGTCGCTGTCTATCTTCAGGCTTCAGAAGCTCCATGACTGAACTAGGACCTGATCACGGTTCAATTGACAACATGTCCAATAAGCATATTGATCAGTGCAGACTCAATTAGACTTCAACTCTGATCAATCGAGTAGTTTAGTTCAACATGTAAGTGGTAGCAGATCATCTAGAACGGGTCATTACATCGTCGATGCATCAACAAGGACACCGGCGGGACAGAGACAACGCTGGCTGAGCCAGAGGACAGAGGACCAAGCCAGAGAGGGACCAGAAGACAGTTGACATCAGGTTTACTTTAGTTCACAGTGGGACTGACTTTGTCCCGAGGTGGGTCGTTACCTTGCAGGGCATCTTCTCCCAGAAGGTTCCTCCTGTGGCCAGAGTCCAGCTGGTGGCGTCCTCCATGCTGCGGTTCCTCTGAGACCATGTGGCCCCTGGAGACCCTCAGGGCCTCTGCCAGTGCAGGACTGACCCCTGAGAGGCCCAAAGTATTGAGGGACGGACGGAAGCGGTGGACGGGACGGTAGTCTCTGGGCAGAGAGGGGGGGGGGTAGATCTAGAGAGAGAATGGGATCAGTGAAGGCGCTCACATTCAGACTCGTCTTCGTACTTCACCAGATGCTCACCGTCTGGTCCTCAGGGCGGTTTTGGGCCAAAGTGAAACCCTCCAGGATCTTTCCGAGGTACGACGCGTCTTTGCTTTTCTCTGTGGACATCAGAATGTTTTAATTTTACAACAATCGACAGAGAAAGGAGTCGTGTTGTACCTGCCATGGCCACTAGGCCGACCCTCCAGGACCTCCATGGCCACTAGGCCGACCCTCCAGGACCTCCATGGCCACTAGGCCGAGCCTCCAGGACCTCCATGGCCTCTTTGCCGACCCTCCAGGACCTCCATGGCCACTAGGCCGAGCCTCCAGGACCTCCATGGCCACTAGGGCGAGCCTCCAGGACCTCCATGGCCACTAGGCCGAGCCTCCAGGACCTCCATGGCCACTAGGCCGACCCTCCAGGACCTCCATGGCCACTAGGCCGAGCCTCCAGGACCTCCATGGCCACTAGGCCGACCCTCCAGGACCTCCATGGCCACTAGGCCGAGCCTCCAGGACCTCCATGGCCACTAGGCCGAGCCTCCAGGACCTCCATGGCCACTAGGCCGAGCCTCCAGGACCTCGTAGTCTTACCTCTTTTCTTCATGTACTGCTGGAGGAGCGTCCAGCCGTACAGTCCGTCCCCAGGCTCCTCCCCCCCGAGCACCGTGTCATATCGGGACATGGGGTCTTTGTGGTAGACCTCTTCATCATCGTCGTCCTCCATGGCCCCCACCCCAAAGGCCTGCAGGCAAAGCAATGTCATTTACAGCGTCTCTGCTCCCTGAACCACGTGTAGTGGGCGGAGCACCCACCTGTCCGGCCACGCCTCCTCGCCTGGAGGCCCTCTTGTCCCCAAACAGGCGGCTCCTGGTCTCGGACTGAGGCCTGAAAAGGTCCAGGTGCTCAGGGGCGCCACGGCCCGGCAGCGCCAGACCCGGGTTCAGACCGCGGTACCCAAGACCCTGGACCCCCAGACGGGGGTTAAAGTCCACCGGAGTCACATCCTTCGGGGCAAAGGTCACGTCCGCTAGAGTAAACTCCTCGTCATCATCCTCCTGATCAAAAAAGATATCACATTACTTTTATTATTATTAATGTTGTTATTGACATTTAGCACTGAATGAAAATGAATTGATGAATAACTTCATGTCTCATGTGACCTCCTGAACGGAATGATAGCACTAACGAGAAGAACTCATTGTCTGTCCAGCTGTCTCACCCCCTGAGAGTCCTCTGATCCAGCAGGAGGCGGCACACCGCCGTATGGTCGACTTCCTGTCAGGGAAGAAACATTGGAGAATAAAGACAGATATTACATGAACACACAGGAAAACATTTAAATTAAACATTAGAATACATTTGAAATATGAATCTATGTAGAATCGTCAGCAGAGAACTGCTGGATTCTTCAGGCTGCATCCTCGTAGGACCAGACTTCTGGTCTATATGGGCTGGTCCATCAACAACCACATAGGCCTCTGAAATGGGACAGTCTGTCTTACAGGGGGACGTCCTGCTTGCGTCCTCGGCTTTACCTCCACTGCCCCTGTTGCCTGGCAACCTGCTGCACTGGACAGTAAAAGCCTTAAAATTCCCCAAACTGATCTTCTGGAGCAGGAACATCTCAGGCTGAGAGAAGAACATTTTACGGTGACTATAAATTATTTTAAAACAGTTCTGCAAAGTACTTTCTGCTGAAAGTAATATTGCAATCTTAAGGCAGAGGAGCTTCCATCAATAAAAACCCATTTATTACCTCGTACGCAGGGACCTTTTATTCTTTTTACAGGATACAAGACACAACATCTATAAAACTGTCTTCACCTCGGAACATGTTGACCTCTAAAAGGTTGAAAGCTGCAGCATTAAAGTGACTTGTCACTAATAACCACAGACACGCTGCCGTTAACAGCGCAGCTCGTTGTGTGCTTGTTGTAATTGTGTGTTGGTACATTGACGGTCAGAAGAAGCAGTACGATGACCTTAATGTGACCTCTCACCTGTCGGCTGTCGCCCTGCTTTCCTCTTCACCCGAGGACCCACCCCTTGACCCTCCTTCCAGCCCATCCTCTTCAGCAGCTCCACCCCCATAGACGACCTGAGGAGAGGAGCAGCGCGTGGATTAGGACCAGGACTCGGACCCGGCCGGCCCGCGGGCGGCGGATCACCTCACCGGGTCGGAGCGATCAGCTCCTCCAGCAGCGTGTCTCCAGTTATCAGCGCTGCCTGAGCGTTGACGGCTCGCGCCTTTTCTCTGGTTGCGTCTCTGCGACTCGACGTGAACTCCTGACTGGTGCTGATCTCTGAGGGAGCGATGCCGTGCTCCCCGAAGTCCTGACAACAACAACAACAACAACAATCTGGGCCCTGTTCCTCTGAACCTGCGTCAACACAGTTCACAGCTGCCGGCTCATTTCAGTACCAACTCTTTATATTACGGTCACCTCCTCATCCATGAAATCTTCTGGTCTGGCATTTTGTTTCCCAGCTTTCTGTTGCCGTGACGACACAAATGTCGACGGGGCCCAGCCTACAGACAACAACAACAACAACAACACATAAACCCTGTCAGAATTAAACCTGAAGACAAAGTAAAAGGAATGTCTCCTGTTGGTATCCTCTCCTGTAGGACTAAAGAACCAGTGCAGGTCTCTCACCTTCTTTGGTGCCCACGGTGTTGAAGTACCCTGCAGAGAAGCCTCCGGTGAAGGCTCCATGGAACCGCTGGTACCGTCCCTTCTCGTCCTTTACCGTCTGCTCGTGTAGAGGAACCGGTTTCTTCAGAGGCTCGTCTGCACCAAGCAGAAAACGTCATGTACAGTAAGTATCTTCTATCGCTTATCCAGGGTCGGGTCGCACGCTACCAGCTCCACCCGCGGGCCAGCGTGGAGACATCATCTCTGCCCTTCCCTGGGTCTTCTCCAGGGCCTCTTCACAGTGCCTGGAAAACCTCCCTAGGGGCCCCAGGGGGGCTTTCCTAAACCCTCACCGGAAACAAGTCAGACCTTCTGCCGAGCACCCAAAGCCAGCTCCCGCTTTGGACGTACGGGGATTAGATGGCCCCAAGTAGGGGCCCCTCAGTGGGGAAAGGGGTCGGTGGTAGGATCCTTGTTCAGGACGTAGCGACCTCCTCATGCAAACTCCATGGAAACGAGCATCTCCACGACCGTGGAAACGAGCATCTCCCCGACCGTGGGAACGAGCATCTCCACCACCATGGGAAACGAGCATCTCCACGACCATGGGAACGAGCATCTCTCCACCCGATGGAAACGAGCATCTCCACGACCGTGGGAACGAGCATCTCCACGACCGTGGAAACGAGCATCTCCACGACCGTGGAAACGAGGCATCTCCACGACCTGGGAAACGAGCATCTCCACGACCGTGGAAACGAGCATCTCCACGACCGTGGAAACGAGCATCTCCACGACCGTGGAAACGAGCATCTCCACGACCGTGGAAACGAGCATCTCCACGACCAAACGAGCATCTCCACGACCGTGGAAACGAGCATCTCCACGACCAAACGAGCATCTCCACGACCAAACGAGCATCTCCACGACCATGGAAACGAGCATCTCCACGTAGTGGAAGAGGAACCACCGACCACTCTTCGCACTCGGCGGGGGACCCGGTCATTCTCCGGGTCCACAGAACAATGTAGACTGGATGAGCAGAGCCGTTGAACTATAACGATATGAAACGCACCGTCATGCGGAGGCGTCTGGTTATAAACAAGGCGGCGGAGCTAAGCCCTCAGCTAGCTGTTAGCTTAGCATGCAGAAGTGACGGCTGTGGCCCTCGTGGTTCATTTCTCTCGATAAGAACCCGCTGCGGGTTTTAATGCAGATGAAGGTTCTGGGGTCTGTGAGAGAAAGCCCACCTTCTTCCAGAGGCTCCAGAGGAGTCCCGTAATTCACGAAGTCCTCGTCGCTTTCACCGTCGGACGCCATGTTGCTAATGTAACTACGGTGGCCACAGGAGGACACACTTGGTAATGTCGCCGGTCTGCAGGGGGCGCTAGCGCCACCTGTCGGGAATCAGGAAACATTTGTTACCAAACTGGCGGCGATTGGTGCGTAACAGCAGACAGTACGACAAGGGACAACAAGACCGATGAGACGACACAATGAAATATAAGCTAAGCTATGTGTTAGTTTAAAAATAAAGGAATACAAGTTAAAAAATAAAGTGCACCAGCGAAAGTGACAAGTGTGTGTGCATGTGGAGTGTGAAGGGAGTGAGCGGTGGGATGTCAGAGTCAGTCAGCGGGGGTCCGGCTCTGTTGATGAGGAAGAACAACCTCTGCTGAGCCTTCTTGGTGATGGAGCTGATGTTCAGCTCCCACTTGAGGTCCTGGGTGATGATGGAGCCCAGGAAACGGAAGGAATTCTAATATATATGATATGATATATATGTATTATATACATGTATATATCTAATAGATATGAACATCTATACAGGAATGTACAGCATGTGCTGGAGAGCTCGTTGCCGCTAGGTGGCAATCTCAGCTCACAGGTCATTCTCTTCCACAAGAGCTACTCATGTTCTCATTGTTGATGATCAGGACATACAGGAAAATGTCATAGTGGTTGGTTCTTTTACTACATATGTATACCTTAGATATGGTACAATATATATATACGCACAAGGTTTTTGGAATAAAACATACAAATGCACAGGCAAAAGTAGTTTACAGAAGTGCATTTGAAAGGGTCCAAATATGTTTTGAGTAGAGTCAGTCTTCACCACAGGACCTCACGTGGGAGCAGAACATCAGCTCCTTCACCAAGAAGCCTCAGCTGAGGTTGTTCTTCCTGAGGCAGCTGAGGAAATTCAACCTGCCAGACACTGACTGACTCCTCCGGTCCATACCCTCCATACCCTTCACATACACTCACAACACAATTGTGTAGAGTATGGTATCTTTTCGCCAGTGCACTTTATTTTTTACTCTTTATTTAATATCCCCAAGCCAGTATCCTTTTTTCATACTGTAGATCTAAATCGTTTGAACCATCATTTTCCTTGGACTATGTCATCTGTCTTTTTGTCCATTGTCCCACTGTCTTACTGTCCAATGTTATGGACCAACCGCCATGTCAAATTCCTTGTATGTCTAACATATTTTGGCAATAAATGTTCCTGACACACTGCAACCAGGAGGAGAGGAGGAGGGGAGGAGAGGAGGCAAGGAAGAAGAAGATAAGATGCTAAATGAGGTAAAGCAAAGGAGGAGATGGAGAGAGAAGGTCAGGATATAGGAAAGGAGAGAAGGAAGTAAGAAGAAGGATGTTGTACAAGATGAAGAGAAGTTGAGAAAGAAGTGGTTGAACTGTGTGATCATTACACTAATGTTCACAGAGACAGACGTTGAGTTTTAGAAAACCTTTGTTGTCCTTTAACAGTTTACCAACACACAATACGATATTCTGGTTTAATCAATTAATCGGTAGTTCGATCTGGACTCTGGCTCCGCCCCTCAGCCGTACTCCTCCAGCACCTCCTTCTCCGTCAGTGGGCCGTGCCGCCCCCCCCCTGCTCAGGATGCTCCTCAGCAGTGCTCCCTCCTCCCTGCTGACTCTGAGGACAAACTTCCTGAGTCTGAAGACCTCCAGCTGGGTGACGTCTCCAGCGCCCTTCTTATCGCTGCCAGGAGCCCCCCGCGTGTCCCTCGCGTGTCCCTTGCGTGTCCCTTGCGTGTCCCTTGCGTGTCTTTTCACACCTCCTTGCGTCTAAAGCAACGCAGCCTCCTGCAGCACCAGGCTGTGATTGGTCTGCTGACTACGTCCTTTAGACGTGACTCTCTAGGTCGTCTTCAACCAAACACGTGACTCCACCTGTTGTTCTGGAGGTGAATCGCTCTGCAACACACGCAGGACTTTACAACCAGGAAGTGAAACCAGTGCGTCGACGCGTAAAGACGCAGAAACACGCGGCGGCTTTAATCCTCGTCCTCCACCTAGCACTTGCAGCTCGCCGATCGGCTGCAAACACACAAACCCACAAAAAAAAGAGTTACACAAACACATTCACACCACAAAGAACCAAGATGGAGAGATTTTTAGATTTTTCAAAAACCTTTATTTTCATGTAAAAACAGACAAACCAGGCATGTTACATGGTGACATTTAGGTCCAACCAACACACAGAAGCTCCCCACATTGTTCCAGAAGAGACGCTGTCCACAGGGTCCCGCTGTCCTCTGTTCTCTGACCCCTTCTGGGCCTTAGAAGGCAGGGGACCTTTAGGACCTCTTCTTCTCCCTCCATGTCCATGTCGCTATCTGTAGACAGTGTCCCTTCAACGTACGTCCCCCGACTCCTTCCGCCCCCCCTTGCCTCCCTTGACCCACCAGCTGGGACACAACTGCTCTCTCATTCACTCAGTCACTTTCCTGCCCCACCTGCTGGGCCGTCTCTTCATTTGCTCCGTCAGTCCCTCTCTCCACTGTGGTGGCCCAACATGCATTTCCCCCGTCACTGACCACACTCTCCTGGACTCCACCTGTCCCTTCTTCACCTCCCTCCTGGACCCCAACTGCCCCCTCTTGTCCTTCCTGCCCGCCTTGGTTGTGATCAGTAGAGGTCTTCTCTGGACATGCTCTGCTTAGATGAACCAAAACATCTTGTGTTGTCAGAGCGGTACATTATCAAAACCATCCCGTCTTATTTTGAACACCACGTTGAGATCCTTGTTTTTGTCATTGAGGACCATGTGAAGCACCAAAGAGAGGAGATCTGCAGCCCGAGGACACGCTGTGTATGAACATCACCACTGCGTCCTCCAGTCCTCTACCGAGCAGGAGAAACACCGTGCTTCCACGTCAGTCGGGTCAGGTCGCCGATCGGCTGCAAAATGCACCTTACAGGAACACTGAAGCCACACAAACGCTCTATGGTCTCCTCATTGAGGAGTAGATCTACACGAACAAACGCCATCGCTCTCAGCTCCACCGAGACAGACAGAGAGACAGAGAGAGAGAGAGACAGAGAGCTCCTATCAGAGCTGATAGCGCTGTTTGGCTGTTTATCATCAAACTGGTGGGGGGCAGTCGGGGGTGTTGGGGGCAGCTGGGGGTGGGAAGCACGAGCTGCGGGGGAAGAGGGGGAGATACTATGGACAGTGAAAGAGGAGATCGTAGGAGAGGGGGGGTTCAGGTCACCCCGAAGAGAAGATACTTGATTCATGTGTTTTATTGTCACAAGTGCAGTTAGAAGTACTTTTCTGTCTCAAGTGGATCTAAAGCTGCAGCTCACTCCTCAGGGCCCTTCAGTTAGCTTAGCATAACAGAATATTTCCCTCTCCAGATAAAAATAACTGAGAGCACAATCGTGTGTACGACATCAAACTAAAAATGATTTCCTAAAAACCGATAGAGAAGAATACGAACAGGCCAAAGAAAGATGAATCACAATCAGTGGTTTATTAAGTGACCCCTGGGTGACCTCTGTGTGACCTCTGCTCTCAAAGTGCGTTGGGACTTGACTCGGCTTTACAAGGAGGTCAAGGTAAAGCCGGTAGATTAGTTCTTCATGATCTATCTCACACCATTCTTCTTTGTGGCGCTGGTTATCCGTGGTATTAGCCGTTAGCACGTCCTCCAATCAGCTTACAGATCACAAACCAGTTGACCCCTGTGCGACCCCTGCCTCTAAGTCCAGGTCGGTGTTTGCTAGCTGTGTGCTACCTTCCAGCAGCCTGTTGCCGTCATACGCAGGACCGGAGCCGTGTCCAGGTTCCCCAAACAAACACGCCACTGTGGATTTCCCATCAGCCCCGTCAGTCACATGTCCACTAAGATGGCCGAGGGGCTTATGAGCGGGAGAATATACACCGAGAGTAATCCGTAGAGGAATGGAACCCAGCCGTAGTATCCCGGTTCTGCCCGGTGCCCTTGGGCGAGAGTGGCAGAGTATTCCTACTCTGTGGTATTAGTACTTGAACCTGTAGAAGAGTATTTCTACACTGAGGTATTGTACTAGTACTAGTCAGTACTTATTGAGTATTGATCATAGTCATCCATCTAAAATAACTCACTTATTTATTAGTATTGATTATTGGTAGATTTGAATCTGTTAAATATCTCATTGGACCAAAGACGACAATATTCAAACGTTAATTAGGTCTACGAAGAAGAAAGGGAAGGAAACAAGGTGCTATTGATGGAAGAGATGGAGGAAGTAGTGGAAGAAAGGAGGAATTAGGAAAGGTTTTGAAGAAAAGAAGGAATTTACCTTATTGTGGAAACGAGGACAGGAAGTGAACCGACCAATCAGATGGCAGCTCTGTGTTTGTTGTTTCATTCTTCAGTCGTCAGCTTCAGTCTCATGAACTTCTGCTGAAGGTTGAAGCATCCACAAGAAACCAGATCCCCTTCTTCATCATCCCCATCATGTTCCCCTTCATCAGTTTCAGCTTCTTCATGTTCACCACCATCATCTCCATCATGCTCCCCTTCGTCAGCTTCAGCTTCTTCATGTTCACCACCATCATCATCTCCATCACGCTCTCCATCATCAGCTTCAGCTTCTTCACCACCATCATCTCCATCATGCTCCCCTTCGTCAGCTTCAGCTTCTTCACCATCATCATCTCCATCATGCTCCCCTTCGTCAGCTTCATAGTCTTCATGTTCACCACCATCATCTCCATCATGCTCCCCTTCATCAGCTCCTCATCAGCTCAGCTCTCATGTCACACACATCTCACATGCTCCCTCGTCAGCTCATAGTCTTCATGTTACACATATCTCACTCATCTCATCATATTTAGCTTGATCATTTGTATCTTCATCAGCTCCATTATCTTCAACTTTGCCCTCATCACCCTCATCTTCATCTTCACCGTTGTCATTTTCATCAGCTCCACCTTCACTGAGGTCTTTAGGAGGAAGGTCAGGACTCTTTTCATCACAGGTCATTTAGCAGACGCTTTTATCCAAAGCGACTTACACTTTAAACCTGCAGCGTTTTTCACATTTTGCCCGGGGAGCATTTAGGGGTCAGGTG